CCCTATTAGGGAGATTCAGGAATTTGGTCTAGTGACAATGAAGGAACTATAACAGAATTTGGCTTGGAGAGAAACTTGCACATGGAAATGTTTTCATGGTCCTACTGCCCTTGTCCTTCCAAGCAGTAGACGTTGTAGGTTTGGAGTGTGATGAAGAAAACCCAGATTGGAGAAATTGGAGGCCTCTCACCACCAAACTGCCAGGCGGGTCATTCCAGTTTCCCAGCCATAGACACCTTTCTCACCCACCAGGAAGTCAGGTGATCAAGGTGGTATTGAACTGAAACCCTTAAGTGGCCATTAACTAACCACATAATTGTTAATGGGTCAAGAAAGTCCCTCCCAATGCCCAGCACATAATTGTTCAGGTGGCAAGAAGGGTGCCAGTATTTCTCCAGACTCAATTATTTCTCATTCTCGCCATCTCACTTGCAACCTTCAGGAATGGAAAAATTCCACAGGTCACTGTAGTTTCCTTGCACTTCACCATATCACTTTATTCTCCCACATCATGAGTGAAGATCAGAACTGGGTAGATTAAACCAAGTACATACATAGTAATATTTTATATTACCTAAGAACAGTACTTTTCACTGGTGAACTCAACTGGCTAGACAGCTATTGTGTGGTTCAGAGCAATGTTAACAGCATGGAATTCAATCCCCACTTCAACTGAGGTAGAGGCTTGCCTTCTTGCATTGTCTCGTTATAACCCATGGTTCAGTAGCCCTTAATTAATTTAGGGTGCTACCAGGAGCCTAAGAATATTGACTCTTCCTGAAAAATATGTTACTTAGTATGTTTACTGTCTGTTCAGTTACTATTGCTATCTTATGACCTGACAATTGACCCAATCAGATGATAGCATGACAAATGTATTGGCATGTGAAAAGTTTTTCAAGGGAACAGAGATATACCTTAAAATATTCTACCATCAAAGAATAAATTCATTCTCCTCAAATGGTAACTCCAAATAAAGTAGAGAATTTAATCATCAGAATAGTCCTAATACAAACTTATTCTGAAAAGGATAAAACTTAGCTTGGTTTTTGTGCATTAATTCTTGTTTAAAATGAACATCTTATTGTCTATCTTGTGACTAGGTTTATTAAATGGAAATATATCATTCAGCAGTAATCTGTCATCAGGTTAGGGCCTGGAAAAAAGATGCATGGGATCATCAGATATTTTTAAGAAGCTTATGCTAAGAGGGTAGGGCTGGAGAGAGGAAGAGAAGAGAGATACAGTGCTATAGTAAGTCCAGTAAAATTTCACTCACTCAGTTCTCAAGTATCATGCTCTTTTTTTGACTGCAAAAACTATCTGTAATCAAACTACTTTCTTTCTTAAATTGTCTTTTTTTTTAAAATAATGGAAGTCTCAACTGCACAAAATACTTAAATGCTCTCACATATTAAAGGTGAACTAACCATATTTGTAAATATATGCACCACATCTCAAACAGCACTTTATTGAACAAAATGTTTGGGTACCAACTGCAGTGGGAGCAGTTAGATTACCAAGAATTAGCTTTTCTCTGGCTTTGTAAACTCAGTAAAACAAACTCAGATGGATACAACTCAAAATATCTCTATAGAAGCACAATACCATTAACAAGGCATCAGGACAAACAGCTATTTCATTAGATAACTGACATTAAAATTTGAGGAACTAAGACATGTAGGTCTGAGGCTTCCATTAGGTTGCATAGCCTATGCAAAAGCACAGGAATTTCAAGTCCAAGTTAGGTGCTTGTGAGCTTTTGAAGAAGCTTAAAATTAGTCATGCTAATGGTCCTCACCACAAAACTATGACACCTAAATCAAACTAATTACCACTCAATTTGTGATTAATTGTGCCTGTTTGCAGGCTTTCAAAGACAGTCTTAAATTGAAGCATCTTTTACAAGTTTTAAATTACTATTTTCCTTTAATTTGCTGAGAGGCTGACTACTTTGCATCAACGTAACTAGCAATGGCTCTGTTTATGTTTTGAAAAGCCATTTTCAGATATTTAAAGACAGCAGGAACTGCAGATGCTGGAGAATCTGAGATAACAAGGTGCAGAGCTGGATGAACACAGCAGGCCAAGCAGCATCAGAGGAGCAGGAAGGCTGACGTTTCGGGCCTAAACCCTTCTTCAGAAAAAAGTACGTCAAAGAATGTTATTAAATGCAGATAGGTTTAAAATGCCACCCAATATTACTGATTCACAGAAGATCTTATGTTTGGAAATATGCAACTAAGTTTGAACAGAAATCTGAGCAAAATCAAACAATTTAGCAAAATTAGTCCAATGAGAATGCAATTAGTCCTTGGAATACCAACAGTGGCCACCCTTGGTCACAGTATTAGAAAACATGCACTGTTAAGATTTCAGGGACTGATCATTCCAATAACTGTGGAGACGAAGTCAGGTGCAGGTACATTGAAAACAGTGCTCCCGATAAAATGCCAGTCTTTCGATGCTTTTGGGATGTACTGCTAAGTCAGTTGGTAATGGTGGGAGGGGGCCAATACCCTCATCTCTACTTAACTGCCTATACAATTCTTTCAAAAGGTTAATGGACTAGAGAGAGCCAGAAGGAGCTTTTCAAAGTGGAGACTGGGGTCTGGTGCATACAAATGTTGAACTGTAAATAAATAGTGATGCTGAGAGACATTCTGTGACATGGCTGATGAATGACCGTAACAGAAAAACAGGGCAATTCAAACAAACAGCATCATGAGGCTGCCAATCTACAATTTGGCCACTTTCATGGACCATTATTGTATGATATTACCAGACTAAATACTTTATTCAATGGTAACAACCATGAAGGTGCTGTGTGTTTTAAAACCTCATTAGTACGCAGGCAATTTGAAAATTACTGATACTAGACTTTTGTGGATTTATTGATCTGCTCCATTCTGCAAAGCAACAGCAAGATGCATCATAGTTGCTGTTTGCCTTTAAGCACTGCAATCAAGCTTCCCTCCGACCCAATCACATGCTTTCCATGCCAAAATAACATCGTACCAGCGTTGCAGACTCAATTCAGGGTCAGGACCCAGAAAGTGATTTGAGAAACGGGTTTCTGAACTTGGATTGAAAATCTAGCCCCAGATATATGAAACATTGGGTGTAGATGTAATTCAAACGCCCCACACACAAATATTATAGCGAGGCTAAGTGATTTGTGTAGTAAACTTTAGCTGAGATCACTTAGAAATTACTACACACTTAGCTGGACATATTATTACAAGAAATTGAATTCAAAACTCAACCACCACATTAGCGTTCTAGCATGAACAGTAATGAACTGTGATACTGACTTCAAAAGGGAAAAAAAACACTATTGAATTGAACAGTGTCTTTCATCACTCTTTGAGCTGTTAAGTATCTTAGGATGATTTCCACACTCCTATGATGTGGCATGGGACACTTGATTACAATAAAGTGTGACATAAATGTATGTTGTTGTAGTGTAAAAATTGAACATAAAGCATTGGTCAATCTCAGAAGTTGGGAGAAAAGAAATGACCTTTGCGGTTAACATCCTTCACCTTGATTTTATCCAGCTTGATGAATCAGTGTCCATGGAATAAAATCATCTAAATATAGAGTTAAGATAGAATCACCATAATGTACTTAATGCAAGGACAGACTGAATGGCCGACTATAGTGCTATAATTCAAACTGACAAAAAAATGCTATTTTGTTAGTATGAAAGATCATCATTTTCTTTTCAATAAGCATCAATGGCCATTCATCATATGATTGAAAGTGCTCTCTGATTGTGAAATCATGTTATCCAAAAATGAAGAGCCTGCAGAACACCAACATCACAGCTGCAAAGAAAGGCTGTGTCACCTTGCCTCTTCCAAGACATGAGAGACTTAAAGTCTCTAGAATCCTCTTTCACTTTGTTTCAAAAAGCTCACAGTTCATCTGCAAAGAAACTGGACCTTCAAAGGTCACAATGGTGTGCCTTCATAACCTGAACAGTCCTTTCTTCAAAAGGGACCCTGCAATTCATCCAGATTTGATCCCAATCATTTGAGCTTCAATTCCAGAGTGGGAAAATCACCCTCCTTCACTAGACTTTCAAAGTGATGTGAACTGTTAACTATTCTGCTTTGGTGTAAACATTTGTATCAGTGCACTTCATTCTTTAATTGTATCATTCTTGGATGTGTATTGTGTGTTTTAAAAAGTGATAGAGCTATCCGACTTGGAGTGTTCCTGAATAATAATAAACTAAGTTTACTTCCATGAAAATCTGATGCTGCTCCCTTTTTTATTGACGACACACTAATGGAGGTTCAGGAACATGTAACAACCTTATTAAAAATTATGCCACATTGAGTACGGACATAAGGGAATGAAATTTAGGGGTTTCACTCCATCTCTGTCCATGACAAACTACTATGTGCTTTGATTCTGCAATCTGCTCTCGCTGATGCTCTGATTAAGAGACACATGAACTTTCTTTTATTAATACGCACAGTGGGTTTTGCTGCTTGGAAAATCTCCTGGATGTGGTTGTGAAATTTTGGTGATGTGTACACTATCAAATTCAAAGGTTGTGAATTCTGTTAACTTTGACACCGTTTTTGCAACACATACATTTCATGCTGTTAATGCTGGTCTGTTTTAAATACTTTTCCAAGTCTACACAGACAAAGAGCTTTGTGGGAATGTTTTGTTATTTAGCTGTTCCTGCTGATATAAGTAAACAGCAGTCTCTTATTCACACAAGGTGGATAGATAAACACACTGCATTCACTGTTTCTTTAGTTACAAAAACAATATTGTCCAAAACATTAAACATGGAAAATTAATTTATGTTCTGAGGTTAAATAATAGTTTTAGTATACTTATATAAGGGAAACAGTTTCCACATAGGATAAAAAGTTCTAAGTTCATTTCTTTTAAATCAAAATAAATTTGGTTATGACTTTCTTTGGGATATACATTTCGAAACTCAGTTTAATATATTACTCTACAGTCAAACTTACCATACAGGTGTCAAGCTCTTCCAGCCTCTCCAATTCGGTCAGTTCCTCAGGAGTGACAGCAAGACGCTTTGTAGGTTTCTCCTCCAATACCTCTATTTCTGTGGATTCCTGGCGTGGTAGTGGCTTTCCACGCTTTGTTAAATGGTTGGCCTGTGTAGGAAAAATGATCAGCAACATTGTCCTTGCTTTAGGTGATTTTGTGCTCTATAACGATATTACAACTAAATAAATTACTAATGGACTAATATTCAAACCTAACACCAATCTATATAGCCATTAACTTAGAATGTGACTTATGAGTTATCTACAAGAGGTCGAGGACCCCCTTAAGAATTGCAAGATCACAATGTTTTCAGCACAGGATTTGGCTTGGCACGTCTGTGCTGGCTCTCTGAAGAAACAATTAATTTAGTGCCATTTCCGCAACCAGGAACCACGTGGCAGGAGCTGAATGTGCAGGTTGCGTCCGGCAGCAACGGTGGATCCGGAGCGGGACTCTGGCGGAGGCAGGGCGAGGGCCGGAAAGCCTGGAGCGGGACTCCGGCGGAGGCAGGGCGAGGGCCGGAAAGCCCGGACCGGGACTCCGGCGGAGGCAGGGCGAGGGCCGGAAAGCCCGGACCGGGACTCCGGCAGTGGAAAGGAAAGTTGGAATCTCTTAAGTTATTTTGTTTCTTCTTATCTTATTCTAAGTTAATGTGAATGGTGCCATGTATGTACGGTGAAGGTGCACACTTTTCACTGTAGTTTTACATTGATTACACGCAATAATAAATGACTCAATTCAATTCTCTCCATAGCCATGCACAGTCTTCCTTTTCAGATCCCAATCCTTTTGCACTGCTGTGATTGAACTTGGCTCCACCACAGTCTCAGCCAGTGTATTCCAGATCCTAATCACCTTATATCTGTTGCCTCTGGTTCGTGATCTTTACACCAAATCAAACTGATTTTCCCCCTCTACAATGTCCAGACCCATCATGATTTTGGATACCTCGATCAAATTCTCTCTCAAATTTCTCCAAGGAAACCAGTCAAAATTCTCTGATCCATGTAACTGGTTCCAAACTGAAGAACTTTATTCTCATAACTCTTTTCTGTACTTGCCCTAATGGCATCACATCCGCCCAAAGGATGGTGCCCAGATTAGGATGCAATACTCCAGATAAAGCCAAATCAATGCTCTATAAACATTTACAACAAACTTCCTGCTTTTGTGCTTTCTGTACTTATGAAGCAAGCCTAGGATGCATGCTTTATTAGCTGCAATCTGAATGTATCCTACCACTTCCATAACTGAAGTACTTATACATACAGGTTGCGCTACTCTTGTACCTCTCTAGAATCATAATTTTAATTTTATATCCTCTCTCCCTACCAATATAAATCACATCACATTTGTTTGCATTTAATTTATGCTGTTACTTGTCCACCCATTCCATTAACTTGCTCATGTCCTTTTCAAGTTCTATGGTGGCTCAGTGGTTAACACTGCTGCCTCACAGCGCCAGGGATCCAGGTTCGATTCCTGCCTTGGGCGACTGTCTGTGTAGAGACCTCGTGTCTGCGCGGGTTTCCGCCAGGTGCTCCAGTTTCCTCTCTCAGTCCAAAATGTGCAGGTTAGGTGGACTGGCCATGCTAACTTGCCCATAGTGTTCAGAGATATGTAGATTAGATGAGTTACAGGGAAAAGAAGTGGGGGGGGGATGGGTCTGGGTAGGATGCTATTAAAAGGTTCGGTGTGGACTTGTTGGGCTGAAGGGCCTGTTTCCACACTGTAGGGATTCTATGATTATACTCCTCAAAGTTCACAATGCTTCCAAACTTTAAGGCAGTAGGCTGCAACACTTTTCACTAGATCTTGATACATGTGACAACAAAAAAAATCAAACTGTACACCAAGACCTAGGTCACTAACAGAAATCAGGAACAGCAGGGGTCAGATCATAGACCCATGGAGGACTCCACTACAAAACTACTTCAGTTAGAAAAACAATTATTTACTACTTGTTGTTCCCTGTTCCGTAGCCATTTTCACATCAATGTTGCTAAGTCCCTTCTACTCTATGAACTATGTTCAAAGTCTGATGTGAGACACTATATCAAATGCCTTTCAAAAGTTGGTGTATAACATATCAACAGCATTACCTGCATTATTGAACCCAACAGGTTAGTTGAATGCAATCTGCCCTGAACAAATCCATGTTGCTTTTCCTTAGTTAAATCATATTTGCTCACCTGACTATTATTGACCTAAATTATTGATTTTAAACATTTCCTGAAGAGAGGCTAGACTAACGGGCCAGTACTCACTGTGTTTAGCTTTCCACCGTTTTAACATGCAAAATTCTTCAATCCTCTGGCACCATCTGAGTCTAAGGGAGACCGAAAAGTTATGGCCAGTGCCTTCATAATTTCTACTCTCACTTTGTGCACTGATGTTTATCAGTTCTTCCTCCACTCAGTGTAACCAAAACCAAACACCACATTAGTTAAAACAGAGTGTCTGAACTACATCTTCTTTAACACTGTACAGTGCTACAGCTTCTTCCGTAAGTAAACGTGTTACACGTAATTCCTTGGCCATGCCCTCTACTATCATTTGTAAATCCCTATTTGGTACCCAAATGGCCCGACTCTTCCCTTAACTGTTTATATGCCTTGTGGATTTCTTTTCACGTTAGCTGTAAGTCTCTTCATACACTCTCTTTGCCTCTCTTCTTTGTTTGATTCACCTGACTTAATATCTTTTTCTTCTTTATCTATTTCTTTTGTTATCCAGGCATCTCTGGACTCCCTCCTCACAGGAATATATCTTGACCATTAGAGAGGGCTGCACTGGACTGGAAAATTGTCCTGAATGCACTCTAGGTACACTTGTTCCTTTTTGCCCTTTATATTACTGCTACCTAATTTATAACTGAAGTCCCCCATTACGTAATGCTTGCATTTTTCTGTAATATTCTTGCAAATTTGTTCCACTACATCTTTCCTACTTTATTCTGGCCTACAGACTACATTAACCGATACAATTTAGGCATTTTTGTTTTCTTAGCTTCAGTCAAAAAAATTGTCTTTGACCCCGCTGGGTCATCATCCATCTCCAGCACAGCAACATTCTCCTTAATCACTACTACTAATCCTTTTCCTTTACCAATCTAATAAACACCTAATAAATGGGAATATATAATAACTGGTCATACATTCCTTTGAACCTAGCCTCCATTATAATCATAGCATCATACCAAACCCATGGTCACTTCCATCTAGAAGGACAAGGGCATCAGACATATGGGAACGCCACCACCTCCAAGTTCCCCTCCACGTCACCCACCACCCTGGCTTGGAAATATATTGCCGTTCCTTCACTGTCGCTGGGTCAAAATCCTGGAATTCCCTCCTTAATAGCATTGTGGATCAATCCACAGCAGGAGGACTGCAGCGGTTCGGCAGTTCACCACCACCTTCTCAAGGGCAACTAGGGATGGGCAAGAAATGCTGTCCAGCCAGCGACGCCCACATCCCACAAATGAATAGAAAAAAAAACTGCTACAATGCTACTTGCACCTGCAGTTCACCAATCCTATCACACTTTTGTGCATGTTTATATATCACACCAACTCTAGTTGACATTTATTATTTTCTCCGTTACTACAACCTTAACTTAATATTTTAACTTAACTCAATTACTTAATATATTCCCTGCTCAAATGCTATCTGTGTCTTGTAGCATTTTGTGCACCATGGCATTCCTCCCTAATGTTGCCTCCAGGTTCCTACAACCCTGTGAAGTTAGTTTAATTTTTTTAAAACAGTTTAGATGCTTTACACTTTGATCAATATTTAAGTATATAGCACAAAATGGTACTTTCAACATGTCATACCTTCATGCAAAGAAGGTATTCATGAAAGTGTCTGCTGCTTTTTGAAGTTACATAAAAATGGAATGGCCATTAGGTTGTGCAGTTCCTCGCTAGCAACAAAAACTCAAACAACGTTACGTATGACAGAAGTTGTGGGCAAAGTATCAGCAACCTGGTCTATACAATCTCAGTAAAACTTCACAAAGTGTGTAGCTAAAATCAAAATTATTCCACCATGTTGTTAGACAGGTTTGAATTACTTCAGTTAAATTGTCAGAATTGAAATTTGTAAATTGATAACACTTAGTGGAAATGGAACAGCATCACTTTATCGAACAATGCCCAACAATAAACTGTAACTAGGAGATACAAATGGAAACTGTGGTTTATAAGATGTTTAACTGATATCTCTAGTACTACTAGGTGTAGTCCACCTGTTGTCAATCTTCATGACAAAGAAGTTTTGCCTAATTCAGTGACGTCCTTAAATCATATCGTACTCAAACTCTTAATTCAATTAAGAATCACAACTGCTGTTCTGCACACTGGATCTTTGATTATTCAAAATCCTTTCAGGCCTATTTGAATATTGTTCCATACTTATTGTTCTTTCACTGTTGGTTTCAATATTGTTTCTGATGCTGATGCAAATGGCAGCTTCTCCTCCAATGTTACAGCTACCTCCAAAACACTATGATTTCTCTTTTGGCTGACTAGCAGAAGGCACAGTGTACAGATAAAAGGGTCTTTTATAGGATGGCAGCTGGTGACCAATGAAGTTCCACAGGGCTCAGTACTGGCACTGCAACTATCTATGTTATACATTAACAATCAACATGAAGGAACTGAGGGCATTGTTGCTAAGTTTGCAAATGACACAAAGATGAGTTGGTAAAGCTTAGTTCCTCTATTTTGAGCGTCAGTGACTGTGGACACTTGATTTCACTAAAACAGTGAGCAGGGTCGTTAGCAAATTACTTTTGACAGAGGGTTGTTGGAGCATGCAATAATTTTCCACAGAGAATGATTGCAAAAGAAATCATTGCACATTTGAAGAGAAAAGTGGATAAATATTTGAAGCAGGGTCAAATAATGCTGTGGCAAAAGGACAGACAAGATTAATTCTGAATTGTTCTAGCAAACAGCGAATACTGCCACAATTGCTTTCTATTGTATTTTCCTCTATGACTCTATGCTATTTTATTCCATGCTTCAGAATTTCTTCAAGATAAAATAGCCAGTATAAATAGTCTAACTTTCCACTGGTTTGGCAGCATGAGGTAGTGTTAAATTTAATTACATGGATTACATGGTATTTTGTTAAAACTGAAATGTGGAGGAGGAAAGAAAGTGATTATTTATAGCTATATTTTGATAGGAATATCGGAACAGTAGTAGGCCATTGAGTCCCGTGAGCCTGTTTTGTCACTCAGAGACATTATGGCTAATCTACAAACTAACTTTGTTTATCCAATTTTGCCCTATAATCCTCAATACATTCACCTAATAAAAATTAATAAACTTTTAAAACTAAAGTTTTACAATTAACCATCGATCTAGCACAAATGATTTCCAAACTTTCACCTGAGAATTGTTTCCTAATATCACTCCTGGAAAGTCTGGCAAGTTTTGGGCAATGCCTTCTAGTCCTAATCTAACCATAACTCAAATCCTCTGCTCTGATTCAGTATCCCTATTTTCAGCCACAAAGGTTGCACACTTACCATTCCAGGCTTTTCCAAACTAATGTTTGATGAAGGCCCCCTTTTTACAGCAATAGTAAGTAAAATGTTGAAAGGTTACAAAGACAATTTAAAGGGAGAGGGGCTGGGTGCCCAGTGTGTAAGGGTGCAAGTTGGCAAGTGGTGAGGGAGTAGACTGGCAGGCAGGTGATGGGCACAGCTGGAAGGTAAGTGGAAGAGACAACGAGGTTCAGGTGTCAGGTGTCCATGGGGTATGATCAGTTAGATGCTTGTGCAAGGTTTGCTGGTCAGAGTGTATTTTGGGTTTCAGTGATGAATCTGTGTGGGAGCGGGGGACACCATTCACCATTATAATTACCAAGGTGTTTAATCCTCTAACTTTCCTGGGTAACTATAAGAGGTGAATAGGTTGGAACCTCTGAAAGCGTCCACCTCTAACTCAAGAGGTGGGAGCTTTCTCAAAGATTTCAATATGCTGGGTAATCGTCCTTGGAGATTTAAACTTCTTAATCATTATTTCAGCACTTCTGAAAGTACCTGATGCAAATCTTTTAGGGCATGCCTGGTCTCTGACTGGAAGATCCAGGCTACTATCTCTGAATTGTTATGCTTCCATCAACACTGCTTGCAGGTAATACTAATTTTGTGGCTTTGGCCATTTTGGAAATGTGTCTTTTATCATCTAAGTTGTTAATAAATACAATGTATAGTTGAGGTCCCAACACAGATCCTTGTGGAACACCACTCTTCACGTTCTGTCAATTGCAGTGCCTATCCAACATCCCAAGCCTCCATCGCCTTCCATTTAGTTAATTTTCTAAACAGGTTATTTGTTTTCAATATCATAAATTTCAACTGCAGCCAAGTCTCTCACAAAGGATTTTGTCAAATATCTTCTGGAAATCTGAAAATGACATCCATAGATCACATCTTCAAAAGATTGAATCAGATTTGTTAGACATGGCCTCCTTGTTATAAATTCATGTTGACACTTTTTGATCAGCTGAACATTTTCAAGCTGTTCAGCCAGCCTATCCTTAATTATAGACTCTAGAAATTTCCCAACAACAGATGGCAGGCTAACTGGTCTCTAATTCCCTGGTTTCATATTCTCACTTTAAGGAAGCATAAATGTTATTGGAGTGAAGAACACAGTTAAATCATTTGCAATACTAACAGTCTGAATTATTTTCAGATCTTGCTTTAAATACTTTCTTCTTGTCCTGTGTGCAAATTTGCAAGTTCCTACACATTACTTCACTACATGTCAGATAAATATGTGCCAAATAAACACAAACGTTACAGTTCTTTCACTTACCAGTTTATGTTGCGAGCTTGAAAGTGCTTCTAAAATTTCATCTACAATATGGTCAGACAGAAACGATGCCACAGTTAGCTTGACCTCACTGCATGAAAATGGAAAGAAGTAGCAACATATTAAAGGAACCTTCTGCAACCTAAAGCAAAATGCATTGTGCTTCACCAGAAATATTTTATTATGCCATGCCCTTTATTCTAAGCTAAATTCAAGTAGACCTCCATCCACATTCATAAGCATTTTCATTAATTCAAGCATGTTTGAGGTGGTCAGACTGAAATTAGAAGGAACTTTCTACTAAAACTACGTGAGGCTGCCCAGACCAATTTACTTAGTGATTTAGGCAGCAGATGATCAGTCATTTTTTTTTTTAAAAGCAGGTGGGGTTCAATGCTAGAGGTGCCTGCACGTATCAGAACAAATATGCCCTTTTAAAAAAAATCTAACAATTCAAAACATTACATTTAAATAAGATTCTTGTATTATGCCTTTTGAAGTCTCTGCCATAATGATATTGGATTGATTTGAAACAAAGATATAACCTATACTTCAGAGAGACTTGGTTGAACCATGCAAAACATTAACTTTTTCTCAGGATTTCTTTTGTTCAATGGTTTTATCATCATCATCTGAACTATTCAACTGTTAATAGCTATGTATATATCCTTAAGTGAGTTGATACTTTAGGATTGAAATGAAATTATTCATATTGCTTGCCCTAGTCAAAAGCAATCGTTTCCTTTATTGCCATACAAAATCCACAACCTGAGGGCTGTGAGTGCAGCCTCAGTCTTAAACTCTGAATAGTAACTGTTCCAATCATTTAAAGAATAGCAATTCAATACAAAGACAGACTTTAAAGCTTTTCTTTTAGATATAATCTATTACACTTCCCAAATCATAAACTATTCCATTTGGATATTTAATGAATGTGAAAAATATGTAAATGAGATTATGAAAAAATGCAACAAATGTAGTTAACAAGATAGTGCAAGTGTGGCTTGAAGGACCAAAATATAACAATGCAGAATGGTGTGACCTGTTCATGAACCTGATTCCTAAATGCCAATGTGAAAGCTGACGTTTTCTAAAGATAAAGAACCAAAATAAAGTATGAATTTAGTAAAGGCCATTTACTTCACATATATTGCTTTATAAAAAAGTGTATTTCAAAAGATCATTATGTAATCAGTTGACTAGCCAATTTGATTTATTTTGAAGATGTTCATGGAAGGCATTGGCAGACTGGCAATGTCACTGGACGACTATTTCAGGATCCCAGTCTATCTTACAGCAGCATGGGTTCAAATTGCACCATTGCAGCTTATGAAATTTAAATTCAATACATTTGGAATTAAAATGAACTAAAAGCTAATCTTGGTAACGGTGACCCTTAGACTATTGTTGATAGCTAATGGTTTGCTAATGACATTTCAGGATGGAAATCTGCTGTCCTTACCTGAACTGGTACAATGCAACTCCACACCCATAGCAATGTGGCTGACTCTTAACTCCCCTCTGAAAATGTCCTAGCAAGACACTTAGTTCAACAGTAATTTGGAATGGGTGATAATTCTAAGGTTTTGGAATAGATTTGTGACAATTACTGACCTCACCAGTGAAGTCCATGTCCCATGAGAAAAAGAACAAAATATTAGCAGGGTGCATTTTGGGGGCCAGTGGATTTAGTGTGTTTAGTTAGATTTGTGAAAGTAATTTGATGAGGTGCCAAATTATAAATTGCTACAAAAGATAAGGTGTGCACAGAGGATTGATTAAAGGAACAAACAAAAAAATGAAAATAGGAATTAACAGGTAATTTTCAAGCTTGGCAGACAGTTACTGGTGGGGTGTCGTAAAATTCAATACCCTTCCTATTCACACACCCATCCAGATGTCTTTTAAATGTTGTAATTGCACCAGCTGCCACCATTTCCTTTGGCAGCCCATTCCACACAAGCAGCACCCTCTGCGTGAAAAAGATGCCCCTCCGGTCCCCTTTAAGCCTTTCCCCTCTAGTTTTGGACTTCTTACCTTGGCAAAATAAAAAAAGATCTTGACTATTCACCCTATCCATGGCCCTCATGATTTTATAAACCCCCATAAGGTCACCTATCAGCCTCTGATCCGCCAGGGAAAATAGCCCCAGCCTATTTAGACTCTCCCTATAGCTCAAACCCTCCAAGTCCAGCAACATCCTTGTAAATATTTTCTGAACCCTTTCAAATTTATCATCATCTTACCTGAAGCAGGAAGGGCAGAACTGAATGCAATATTACAAAAGTGGCCTAATCAATATCCTGTACAGCCGCAACATGACATTCCAACTCCTATACTCAATGTTCTGATTAATAAAGGCAAGCATACCAAACTCCTTCGACACTACGTTGTCTACCTGCGACTCCACTTTCAAGGAATTTTGAACCTGCACCCTAAGGTCTCTTTGCTCACCAACACTTCCCAGGGCCCTACCATTAAGTGTGTAAGTCCTGTCCTGACTTGCCTTACCAAAATGCAGTACCTCACATGTATCTAAATTAAACTCCATCTGCCACAGCTCAGCCCATCTGATCAAGGTCCTGTTGTACTCGGAGATAACCTTCTTCACCGCCTACTATATCACCAATTTTGATGTCATCTGTAAACTTACTAACCATTCCTCCTATGTTCACATCCAAATCATTTATATAAATAATGAAAAGTAGTGACTTCATCACTGATCCTTGCGGCACACCGCTGGTCACAAGTCTCCAGTCCAACAAACCACCACAAGTCTCCACCATCACCCTCCGTCTCTTACCATGAATCCAATTTTGTATCCAAATAGCTAGCTCTCCTTGGATGTCACGTGATCTAACCTTGCTGACCAGTCTACCATGCAGAACCTTATCGAATGCCTTGAAGTCCATATAGACAATGTCTACTGTTCTACCTTCATAAATCTTTATTAATTCTTCAAAACACTTAATCAAGTTAGTGAGACACAATTTCCCAAGCACAATGCCATGTTTGTCTATCCTTAATCAGTCCTTACCTTTCCAAATATATGTAAATCGTGTCCCTTAGAATTCCCTCCAACAACGTACCCACCACTGATGTCAGGCTCACTGGTCTATAGTTCCATGGCCTTTTCTTACCACCTTTCTTAAATAACGGCACTACATTAGCCACTCTCCAGTCTTCCGACACCTCACCCATGGCTAACGATGATACAAATATCTTGGCAAGGAGCCCAGCAATCAATCACTCATTAATGTTAGATTGCAGAATCAATGGAACTCATATGACTGCCTTAGATGAGAGTACCCACAGGATTAAAAAAAGCACCATAAGGTTCCTCCCCATGTGCGAATATTGAGCACTTTGTATCAACTCTTCAACTTCAGCAATTAATGATGATGCTTACCAATTTTCCCAAGAGTTAGATTAGTTTACATAACAAATTCACACCACTAGCAAAGAAAACTGAAGATTATGAAGTTAAAATCTGTGTTCAAATATAATAATAGATCAGTGGTTCTATCAGAGAGGCTGGATTTAAAAATGAAGTCACTCTGAATTTAAAGCCTGAATTGGTCCTATAATTTGAAGCTTATTTTTAATATACTAGGAAAATTATGATTACAATTTACAATACAATTAAACATTAAAATACCTAATTTTGTTCAGAATATCGATGCCTGATTGCTCAAGTAGAACATTTTTGACAAATGTCCGGGGAATGGAGACTTTCTCTGTGCTGGCCTCTATTAAATCCTGGCGTAGATGGACTTTTCTCATCACATGAGGACACAGTCCCTCAGCCGCATCCACCATGGACTCCAACATAGTCTATAAGGCAAAGAAGGAAAAATTCAAAAGCAGAAGGACTTAGTGCTTTCTTTATACATTAAAAACTACAGTCAAGTGGAACAAACACTAATATTTAAATAAAGAGCAAGCTGAAATATAAGTAAAGGCAAACTAATGAGGCACATGTTTGAACTAGTTTCATAAGGGGCAAAATCCAAAGCTCTATCAATTAAACAATCACCCATTAAGGTTGAGGAAGTTCTTAAAAAAAAAAGTCCACAAATAAATATCAGAATAATTGATCTGCACAGCCTTGTTCTTTTTGCGAAAGAGATCACTTGATTCAGTCTTATATCAGGGAAAGCACAGTATTCCAAGTTCCCTTCTGTAAGATTTCTAAAAGTATTAGCTCAGTTTAAAAAAAAAGTGTCAACCAAACTCTCATTACAATCGAATCACCCATGTCCTTCAGGGAAGGAAGTTCTGTATTTACCTGATCTGGCCTGCTTGTGATTCTAGACCCACAGCAATGAGCTGACTCTTAACTGCCATCTGGGCAATTAGGCATGGACAACAAATGCCAAAACTATAAGAAAATGGATCTCAGCAAAAGCGAATCACTACATCATTCTTTGTGGAGAGTAATCACGTACCTGTGGAATACACACAACTCTCAGAGCCCAAACAATTCAGTGCTACTTACACAATATTCCCTAGTTGTTTGTTGAATCCTGTTTGAACTGCATGTGCTGGAGAATTTGGGAGGAGTTATTTAGTGTAGTTATCTCATTGGTAAATAAATCCTAAATCAGAATGCCAAAATGTATTTGACCAAATTGTTGATTCTATCTCTACATTCATTGTTTCATGAACCTGGATACAGTATCAAAACTCCATGATACGTACAATGTGGTGCATTTTACATTTACTTTATTCAACAACTTTATGTTTAGCAATTTAGTCATTATCTTGAAACAAAATCAGTTATTCTGCAATAGTTGCCTACTGGGAACATCATAAACTCTCCTGGAGGGATCAGTTAGTTGAGTTTTCTGGACAGCTAGTTTGGGATGCAGAGCAACGCCAACAGCACGAGTTCAATTCCTATACTCGCTGAGGTCAGTGATGAAGGTTCCGACTTCTCAACCTCAGCCCTCACTTAAGACACAGTGACTGTCAGGTTAAACTCAACACCAGTCATCCCTCTCTAATGAGAGACAGCAGTCCTAAGGTCCTACTCTCCAGGTTTGGTGTTTACATTGCTACGGAGATTAAGTGGAGGCAGGAATCACTGAAGTACCTGCAAAGTTGAGATCTTTGTGGATAGCATATACAGTGAAGTGGTCATACTGTTGGGAAGTGTGTGTAAGCAGAAAGTGAATGTCTAACTGTTAGAATAAAAGCACTGGGCAAATAGTGCAGGAACTCCCAGTACATCTCCCCCTCTAAGATATTTCCAGCTGGACGGCAGGTTTGCAAGGCAGAGTGACAACAACAGCATGGTTTGAATAGCTGAGGCTATCATGAAGGACTCACCTTCTCAATCTCTCCATTCACCTGAGGTGTGTTGACCCTCAGGTTAAACCAGTTGTCTCTCTAACAAAACAGCAGCCCTATAGTCCAGTAAGGCTATGATGACTTCACTTTCTTTTACTGATCGATCTTTAAGGAGGACCCACAAAAAAAAAGGTGGGATCGCATTGTTAGTGAAAAATTAAATCCATGCAATTGTGATGAAGGATATTGTGGAAAAAGTAGAGATGTGAAATTTGTCTGAGTGGAGCAAAGAAGCAACAAGGATCGGAAAACATTTGTACAGTTGTCTTGAGCCTCCAACCAGTAGTGGTAAGGTGGGAATTAGAGATGCATACAACAAGGATGTTACAGTAATCATTGGATGACTTTAATCTACATATAGAGTGGGGAAGCCAAATCAGGAATAATGTGGTGGATGAATTTCTGGAATTTGTACAAAATTTTATTAGGGAACTAGGCAACAGGGTATTCTGGATTTGATTTCGTGCAATGAGATGGGGTTAAATCAACCTTTTTGAAAGCTTCTTCAGGAAAAAGTGACCATAATGTGATAAATCCTTCTTTCGGATAGAAAGTGAAGTAGTCCAATTTGAAAATCAGGTCCTAAAGCTAACCAAAGGAAACTATAAAGGTATGAGGGGTAATTTGTCTACAATAGACTGGACAAATATCATTAAAAGGCATGATTGGGTAGGCAATGATTAACATTTAAGGAAAAAGTGCAAGCATTGCAATAATTATACATTCTTTTCTGGTGAATGAAGAACAGGAAAAAGTAGCCCAACTGTGGCTAGCAAAAGAAATTAAAGATAGTAACAGATCCAAACTGACGTTTTTGAAAAGTTGCTAGAAAAAGTAGCAGGCCTGAGGTGTGGGAACACTTTGGAATTCAGCAAGTGAGTTAGAGGGAGAAAAAAATCAAACCAAGCAAGGAGCAGAAAAGCAGACAAAATTCTATAAGAAAAAAATTAGCACATAAAAATGTAGGCCCTTTCCTATCTGAAATGGGAGAATTGATAATGGAAAACAAGGAATTGGTAACAAGTTAGTCCTGTCTTCACAGAAGATGACACAATTTCCAAGAAGTGCTAGCAAAGCAAGGGTCTATAGTGAAGGAGGGATTACAAAGGGAGTTGTTAGTTTTTTCTTAAAAAAAAAAGTGTGCTGGAGAAGTGACTGGGAATGATAGTTGATAAATCCCAGGGTCTGACAGTTTACAACCCAGGGTACTACAGCAGTCGGCCATGGAAACAGTGCATGCATTAGTTGTCATCTTCCAAACTTCCATCAATTCTGTGAAATACTGGCAGATTTGAAGGTGGAAAATGTAACTTCATTGAAAAAGGAAGAGGGAGAAAACTGGGAATTAAAGACTAGTCAGCCCAAAATCAGTAGTAGGGAAAGTCTGTTATAAAGCTTGTGACAACAGGACATTTAGAAAATATTGTCAGGATTACACAAAGTCAACATGGACTTATGAAAGGGAAATTATGTTTGAGAAACCAACTGGAATTTTTATTTTTGAGGACATAACTGGTAGAATAATTGAGGGAGAACACATCAATGTGGTGTATTTGGATATTCAAAAGGCTTTTGATAAAGTCCCATATAAAGGGTTAATATGCAAGATTAAAGCACTGAGCTTTACTGGTAACATACTGGCATAGATTAAAATTGATCAGTAGACAAGAACAGGAAGAATAAATGGGTCTTTATCTGGAGTGGAGGGTGTTACACGTCACTGGGTAACACACTGAAATTCCTGGAGTCATCACAAAAGGTAAAGGCTTTAATGAATATGCAGAATTCCTGCACTCAATAAGAATTCCTACTTCTTATACATAAACAGACTCCAGCTACAGGTAAACAATTACAAATCATCAATATATAACTCTACTAATTAAAACTCTAACCCCTTACACGCAAGCAGACAGACAGGGAAAACAAAAAAAAAATCTATGAATGGAGGGAAAGACAGGGAAGGCAGTTCAGCAGCCTTGGTTCACAGATTTGTTGAGATGATTCCTGTGCAGATCAGAAGCCTGCTTCTTGATCCTTCTTCTCGGAATGCTTCAACTTGATTGCAAGAGGCACAGGGTGTCTGGTTCATACTTATCAAGGCCCCTGGTTTATTAATTTAAAGTCACAGTTTTCAGCAACTGAAGGAAAAATAAACACCAAATGCTGGAGAAACTTATACGATTTGGCAGCATCTGAGGACAGAGAAACGTTTCAAATCTGGTATGACTTTTCTTCATAACAGGGAGGGGGTGGGCTGGCAACATGTCTGCCTATGTTGGGCACTACTAAGTGCTAGGCCAGGGGCTTGGAAGTTAGAGCGTGTAGATGAACAGGTAAAACAGCTGTTGAGTAGAAAAATTGGGAGAATCAAACTTTTGGTGGGTTGGCAGGGATTGCAATGCAGAAAGGAAGAGATTGGTGAGCAAGTAAAATAACAGGCAGATCCTATAATTCACGCGAGTATAATTTGTAAAGCTATTCATCTCCATTCAATTCTTAAAAGAAAAGCAGAAATGAAAACTGCCAGCATACGCAGAGTAGGTAGGGTACATTTGTTTTCTTTGTCACCTGCAAAAGGGATGCCTCAAAGAGCAATTGCATTGAGCAGGCACTCCCAATTCCAGGTTAAAGACATCCACAACGACAACTGTTTGTGTAATCTCATGCATTGACGAGCTTTAGATTACAAGTTCTGAACATAAGCAATCTTGACCATGTCAGGGAACAATATAAATGAAAATATCTAATCTCTGAAGCAGAATTGAAAATAGGTGACCTATAAAATGTTACCATGACCAACAATTCCCTAACATATTTCAAGGACGCAGAGCTGTTTTCCTCTCATGTTAAAATACATCAGAACATAATCTTATATGAAATGTCGGGTTTCTTGCAAGACATGGGATAGAGAAGACGTCACAGCGGGAAGTTCCCCAAGAATTATCTTCAAGTTATTTCCTCTAGGTGAGCAAAGGTGCAGTGTTACTGCCAAACGAAGATGCTCCGGGACATCATCACACAAGTGTCATCTTCTAGAGTAGAACTTCCAACCTGTAGGATGGATGACCATCCTGTCCCAGTGGCTGTAAAGGTGATAGCTGTGCTGAATGTTTATCTGATTGGCTGCTTCAAGGATCCACTGGAAATCTGCATGAGATCTCTGAAGTCTCAACCAACAAATATAACAAAGCCATTAATGGTGCAACATGCCAGATCATACCTCTTCACCTAATTTCTTGGTGACTAGGTCAGTCCTGCAGCCTGGTTATAGGTTTTGGTAACATTGCTGGTACAGGGCACTATAGAACTTACACACATTGCATTGAGAGCACAATACTGTAATTTGGCAGACTTCATTAAGAAGAAATGATATCATTTGGCCAATGTCTAAATATCAAAACCATACCTTAGAAATCTGTTCCAGGTATCATGGAAGCTGTTATGACGCCAATATTTTTGGTAACCCTTAAGCACTTGCTTCA